TGACTGGTCAGGTTCAGACTGTTGCAGTAGCAGTGGACCTTGCCAGAGAAGCTGCGCTCAGTATTACAGCTGAAGGCTTCTCCGAGACCACCAACGAAGACATCATGGAGGTGATCAGAGATCCTGAAGTGACTGCCGACGAGATGTTGGAAGAAGAACCCGCCAGTGAAGAGGAGGAAGAAGGTGCGTCATTCTCCGAAGAACCTAGTTTAAGTCATAGTGATATTAAGTGTGTCATAGAGTTAACAGAAAAAATTAAGTCCATCGTTTCCCGCGACACTGACGATGAACGCCATGACGTCTTCCATAACCGACTGGTGCAGGCTATGGAGCCGTACATCACGGTGTATCATGACAACATCAAAGCCAGCCGTCAGCAAAGCATAACCGAGTTCTTCGCCCGCAACCCACCACAGCCAGCCCAAGCCAGTGATAGTGAAGTTGATTTTGAGGGATTTGTCAGGGAAGCCATAACAACTGTAAGTGACAGTGATATTGATTCACCTAGTAATGGTGATTCACCTAGTAATGGTGATTCACCTGAGGGGCAGTAATCTGCCCTCTGCCTCGGAACCAGCCTCCATCCCCGTATGCCGACCCATCTCTTCTACTACCATGAGTGTTCCTCAAAAATTTTCGTTTTTTAACCTATTCTTTATTTTTCCTATGTTAACCTTTATCTTTCCTAACCTAACCTCTTCTATATTACTTGGTTTTCATGCCACCATAAAGTTAAGATAGAATTTTTACTACAACATAGTTATTTGTCGTCAAAAAGTGGAGTTTGGGGGTCGGGCTGGGTTCTATTGGAATTAATCCCATATGTTCTGTTATTCACTTAACGCGGTTTTCACTTAACGCGGGACCCTCTGGGTTCAATTGACCGCGTTAAGTGGGGTACAACTGTGTATATATATATATATATATATATATATATATATATATATATATATATATATATATATATATATATATATATATATATATATATATATATATATATATATATATATACAGTCAGTTCTGCTATAACGCGATAGTTGTGTTCTTGTAAAACATCATGTTATAGAAATTCGCGTAATAGAAATAACAGGGCTTTTGGAGAAAATAGGGTTAGGTGCAGATTACTACTCGAAATCGAAAAAATTTTAATAGTTAGCCTAACACAATGGTTAGCACAGTCTAAATAAATGTTACATTCATATCTAATAATGAAATCATACAGTAAATGTAACACTTTACCGTGAAGAAATATGAATATAACTTGATGGGGGAGAAGGGTGATTTTGAGGTTGATAACATCGAGCTTCTCTTCAAGGGTTATAGCCTTTCTTTTACAATCATCACCGGGAATGGGATCACCAGAACGCTTCTCGGAGATATTCTTCTTTACCATATTCACAGTTAATACCACAAAATTGGAGAAATAGTAAGCAAAAATCGCGTTACAGCAAACAAGCGTTCGCGTTATACAAATATCGTTCCTCTATTCATAAATCGCGTTAGAGCCAATTCGCGTTGTCAAAACACGCGAGGTCCCTCCTAACACCATCTGGGAGGGAACTACTACACCACGTGAGGTCCCTCCTAACACCATCTGGGAGGGAACTACTACACCACGTGAGGCCCCTCATAACATCATCTGTGAGGGAATTACTACACCACGTCAGTTCCCTCATAACACCATCTGTGAGGGAACTACTACACCACGTGAGGTCCCTCCTAACACCATCTGGGAGGGAGTTACTACACTACGTTTTTGCTGTTCAACACCTACATTAATCTGTATGTTCACTGTATGTTCCTTTACCTTTCTCTAATGAAGGCTTTTGTTAAACCACCAATGTATGTAATAAGTCATTTATGTCCAATGTATATTTTCAGCCTTCGGGCTGCAGAACTTTTTCAATAAACCGTCAATTATTATTATTATTATTAACTCACTGTACTGGGAAACTTTTCTTGGAAGTTCCAGAAATTGAACATTAAATCATCTCTCGAACCCTGAAAGAAATCCCCCATCCCCAGAATTTTATCAGAATTTCCCAGAATGATTCATTATTTCATGTCCCAAAGCAAGAAAAACATTTCTCATCCCCATTGTATTTTGGGTACAGGAAAATGTTTCTCAGAACTTCTGGAAAATGTGCATGATTTTCATCGCTCAAACCCAGAAAAAAATTTCCCCAACCCCGGAATTTTATGGAAAATTTACGGGTACCGAGAAAATTTTCTTAAAATTTTCCAGAAAATGTGCCCCTTGGAAAATTTCAATTCCATGCTATCAGAGAGTTCATATTAAGAGGGATTTCGGCTAATGGAAATCTTACTTTTATATATACAGGGCGTCCTCGCTTAACGTCAGGGTTACGTTCCTGAACACGCAACGTTATACGAAACAAAGTTAAGCGGATCAATTTTCCCCATAAGAAATAGATAAAATACGGGAGTTACCTTCCCCAGCCTCCCTTTGCCCCATGAAAAACATTACATATACAGAAAATCATTGCCATTTCTATAGCAAAATAGTACAGTATATAAACTACAGGACTTAAGTTTGTATTGGTACTCACTGATGAGCGGAGGTGGTAGAGCGAGTGTGTGGTGGGGAGTGGAGCGAAGGAGGAGGGTGGCAGAAGGGGAGGAGTATGGCAGGAGCGGAGGAGGAGGGTGGGAGCGGAGAAGGGCGGGAGAGGAGGAAGGTGGTGAGTCACTGAGACTGCGGCTGCCTCCTCCTCCTCCTGTACTGACTGGGGTTCCTCCGCCGCTGTTTGCTCCTCCTCCGTTGTTGTTTGCTCCTCCTCGGCTGCCGGCTGTTGTGAAGAAGCTGCTTCTGCCCTCCTGCGACGAAAAAATTAATCCAACGTTGACTGCTTGGTGCTACTCTTCTTCTCCTCCTTACAGATCTCAGTGTAACAACCAAGACTGTCCTCAATGCTGCGTTGAACCTTTGAGCAATGTTCTCTGTTTGGGTCATCATCTATAAGGATTTGCTTTGCTTGCTGGATCATATTGAACGATTCTGCCATCCTCTTGGAAGTTAGAGGTTCTTTTTCGTCGTCATTGTCTTCAACGGGACTGTGTTCTGTTAATTGTCGCAGATCTTCGTTGGTGAGCTCTTCTGTCTGGTATGCCAGGATGTCCTCAATATCCTCTGATTCCAGTTCATCAAAGCCTGCCTGTCTAGTCAAGCTAAGGATATTCCTATTCACAGCTGGGAATAAGTCCATGAATCCCGTAAAACTGTTAACACACTCGGGCCACAATTTACGCCACACACCATTAAGGCAACTTTCTGAAACCTCTTCCCATGCCTTGCCAATGTTGTTCATTGCATGGAGAATGTCGAAGCCACGCCAATATTCTCGGATCGTAGGTTTATTTTCTCCGTCTGTAGCCTTGAGCAGCTGGGCCATGGTGCGGCATAAATAATACGCCTTGAATCCGGCGATGACGCCTTGGTCCATAGGCTGCATCAGTGCTGCCGTGTTGGGAGGCAGGAAGACAACTTTTACACTGTCATGCAAGTCATCGAGATTGGGAGGATGAGTTGGAGCATTGTCTAGGATCAGAAAAATTTTGAAGTTAAGATTCTCCTTGGCACAGTACAATATTCCTTCAGTGCAGGGACGGAGTACACGTTCAACCACTGGCTAAACATGGCGCCAGTTATCCGTGCCTTCTTATTTGCCTTGTAGATGACAGGAAGGTGATCCTTAGAGTAACCTTTCAGGGCCCGTGGGTAGGCAGCGCGAGAAATCAACATAGGCTTCAGCTTGAAGTCACCAGCAGCGTTCACGCCAAGCAGCAGCGTCAAGCGGTCTTTTGCCGCTTTAAAACCTGGCGCTCTTTTCTCCTCCTTGGAGATACAGGTCCTCTCAGGCATCCTCTTCCAAAAAGAGACCAGTCTCATCCACATTGTAGACTTGCTTCGGTGAGTAGCCTCCTTCCTGGATAATCCGTTTGAATTCTGGCTGGAATGTCTCGGCAGCAACCGTATCTGAACTGGCAGCTTCACCAGTCCTCTGAGTATTGTGGAAGTTATGCCTGTGCTTAAATCGTTGAAACCAGCCTCGGCTAGCCGTAAAGATCTCTTCCTTTGATCCTTCACCCTCTGTTTCCTTTATGTCGTCAAACAAGGATATGGTCTTATGCTGGATAACCATAAGGCTCAAAGGGGCATTGCGTTGATTCTGGTCCTCCATCCACATAGCCAGCATCTTTTCCACTTTTTCTATCACAGTGCTTCTAGTACGAGTTGTCTTAGTTGCAATCAGAGAAGAACCACTTCCAGCACTAACCTTAATCTTGTCAGCGTTGGTCAGGATAGTACGCACCGTTGTGGGGGTTAGACCAAGCACAGCGGCTATGTCCACAGCACGTTCCCCTTTTCAAAATGGGCTAATACATCCATTTTCATAGCCAAGGTAATGGTCTTACGTTGCTCTTCACTACACTAGCATCAGTAACACTTGATGGGCACTTGGAAGCCATTTTGAATGGTTAGAGTACAGTTTTAGAGCAAAAGCACTTAAGCACACACGAATGATGTGAAGCCGTAACAGAGACTGGCTTGGCATCGCTTGGGGACGCTGTGACGTTCTGCGAGTGAGGACAGTGCGCAGAGCCGAGAGAGAGTAGCGCGGCCTGACAAGAGCGGGTGATGCGTCATAGAAAGTAGTCTGTGACGACATAAAACGACATAGTATTGGATCACCAGAACGTTAAAGGAATTTTGGGTCTCTAAAGTTCAGCAACGTAGTACCGAAACAACGTTAAGAAAGGAATTACTGTACAGTATATATACTGTACAGTATACATATATATATATATATATATATATATATATATATATATATATATATATATATATATATATATATATATATATATATATATATATATATATATATATATATATATATATATATATATTATAGTATACTTTCAATGTTTCATAATAATAATATATAAAAGCAGGCAAGGCACAGTGTACTTACCACTGGTACTCAGCGCTGAGCGTCATGGTGACGGCAGGAGCACTGCTACTTTTTCACTTCCGCCCAAAATGATGCCGGGTAGAAGAGTGTAGCTCAGAGGCTGGACGTTGTGGGGTAACGGTCGGTGTTGAAGGTGGTGGTAGAGAAGGACACTCGGAGCATAAATGGTCTTATGTGTGGAGAGGGCGTGAGAGATAGATATCTATGTTGGTATTATTCTGTGTGTGAGCGTAAGACTAAACTGTGCTTTGATGCTCCCCACAAAAAATTGAATCTTTAACCTTTATACCTTACAAAATATTTCACAAGTCTGATATTTGAAAACCAATTGCAACTTGGAATAGAATCACAAGGGAAACCAATCAAAGTGTCAAAAATCTGTACGGTATATGAATGACAAATACAATGTGCGCACCACTCTGTCTACTATTCGGGGCAATTTCCACACTTGCCAGGTACTGGAGGCAAACTTGTTACTGCATTATCAACACTCACATCAGTGATTTATCAATACTGTAGTGTACCATATTTACATGGAGGTCACTCAGACGATGACATGTGGAGGCAGTTCATCCTTCATGCCTCACTCACATTAACAGCCATGCACAACAACAGTGCAGGGTTTTGGCACATTCAATAACTGTTTAATTTCATTGGTATTTCTAAAATTCTCACAGTAATTTGAACATATTTCCTCGGAGAGTATTAATGAGTCGCACTATCTGCATCCCTGGCAGATTCTGACACTGGGTTCTCCACCATTATTGTCAAGAGAAATCCTTATCTAAAATCCATCTGAAAAGAGATAAATTAAAATGGTTACCATGATGATATATGTAGTCTTCTTCAACACAGTAAAGTAACTCCAGACCACAGAAATCACAGCATTCATAAAATATTAACGAAAGATGAGAGGTCTGGCATTAACCTCATCCTGTAGATCTAAGAAATGTTTTGTTCATTATTAAGTGCATTTCCTATCTACCATATAAAAAACTAGAGGGAGCCCGGGCCAGATGAAATATACTGTATTTGTGTCGGTGACTATGGCCGTACAGTACCTACCAATACTGTACACCCCTCAAAGTGAACATGGATTTAGAGGTTAGATCTCCCAAGAAGCTGATGCCATCATGCAAACACACTTTCCAGCATCTGAGATAAGAGTTGAATGTTTCTGCTATATTTTTCAACCTTTTGAACAAACTGTAACTGAAAATCATGTTGTGACCAAATGTGCCAGACAACAGCTGGTGGCATCACTGTACTAGGTCCCATAGCCTGGTGTAGTAGCCATGTGAAGATACTGTGTAATTGGGGGTCATAGCGACCAATTTTAAGCGAATTTCCAGATAAAGTGATTTCCGGAGGGGGTTTCTATAATCACAAAAAAAATCTTGATTAACCGAGAAAAATCTGGATGGCAATCTGGACTGCTTTCTGGTGCAGACGAACACCAGCCCCAGCCACTTTATTTACAAGCCAGTTACTCTGCTACAGCCCTCATGTATGCATCTCTGAACCCCTGTGGACTATTTGTGACTTTGTAAACTAAGTACCATGGCTTCCAAAGGCAAGACAACTTCAAAAGGAGGTCAGAGTAGGGCCAGAAAGGAGTTTAACTTGAAGGACAAGCAAGAATTCTATATACAAGGCCCCCCCCGAGATTTGTTGGGGTTAGATTCTCAAAATGGCAGCGAATCGCCAAATCCGAGGAAAACATTTGCGGACTGAGAGGGGATACATTTTTACTTGTGTACAAAGAAATGTATATTCCCTTAGGACAATTAGTTCTTTTACCTGTATTGTATTGTAAATATACGCACGCACGCACGCGCACACACACACACACACACACACACACACACACACACACACACACACACACGCCATGCCCCCTATAACACCATCTGTGAGGGAGTTACACACCACGTGAGGCCCCTATAACACCATCTGTGAGGTAACACTACACCACGTGAGGTCCTCATACACCATCTGTGAGGTAATTACTACACCACGTGAGGTCCCTCATAACACCATCTGTGAGGGAATTGACTACACCACGTGAGGCCCCTCATAACACCATCTGCAGGGAATTACTACACCACGCCCAGGTCCCCATAACACCATCTGAGGGAACTACTACACCACGGAGTTCCTCCTAACACCATCTGGGAGGAGTTACTACACTACGAGTTTGCTGTTTAACACCTATTAATCTGTATGTTCCATTTTTCTAATGAAGGCTCTTGTTAAACCACCAATGTATGTAATAAGTCATTTATGTCCAATGTATATTTCTTCAGCCTCTGGCTGCAGAATTTTTTCAATAAACCGTTAATAAACACACACACACACACACACACACACACACACACACACACACACACACACACACACACACACACACACACACACACACACACACACACACACACACACACACACACACACACACACACACACACACACACACACACACACACACACACACACACACACACACACACACACACACACACACACACACACACACACACACACACACACACACACACACACACACACACACACACACACACACACACACACACACACACACACACACACACACACACACACACACACACACACACACACACACACACACACACACACACACACACACACACACACACACACACACACACACACACACACACACACACACACACACACACACACACACACACACACACACACACACACACACACACACACACACACACACACACACACACACACACACACACACACACACACACACACACACACACACACACACACACACACACACACACACACACACACACACACACACACACACACACACACACACACACACACACACACACACACACACACACACACACACACACACACACACACACACACACACACACACACACACACACACACACACACACACACACACACACACACACACACACACACACACACACACACACACACACACACACACACACACACACACACACACACACACACACACACACACACACACACACACACACACACACACACACACACACACACACACACACACACACACACACACACACACACACACACACACACACACACACACACACACACACACACACACACACACACACACACACACACACACACACACACACACACACACACACACACACACACACACACACACACACACACACACACACACACACACACACACACACACACACACACACACACACACACACACACACACACACACACACACACACACACACACACACACACACACACACACACACAGAGTATTTACAATACAGGTAAGCGAAATTATTGTCTCTAGAACTAATGGTTCCTGTCCCAGCCACGAAATGCCGGCAACTTTAAAACTACCCACAGACATTCTTGGGTACATCCAGGGTGTCATCCCGTAATAATAGAGAACCGCAAAATAAAAATCCGCAAACTTGGGGGGGCCCCTGTACTGTACTATTATACTACTGGTTATTGAATCAAGTGATTCAAAAGTATTTGTTTATTTTTGCCACTACTACTCAGGACTATTTCGTGTTGACCCGTACTGTACTCAATCAGGATTAATAGAAATTAGTCCAGAGTGGTTTGCCAGTCCATATAAAGAAGAAATCTAGATATAAAGAGTCTGGATTAAGAGGGTTTTACTGTGCAGTTTAACACTACAGTAGGCCGTGTATCCCAATGATGAGGTGAGGTAGTATGTCTAGTCATACATGAAACTGTAGTTCTAGAGTGTTTACTCTTACTAAGTTTAGCAACACTAATTGGTCCAATACTGCTAAAATCAGACATATCATCACTACCACATTTTAAAGCCATTTTATACACTTACACAGGTTCAGCCATGGTTTATTCAAGTTTTTGTGTACAGGTCTCCATCTGAGCTGAATAAAATCATCTGCCATTCACAAAATAAAATATTAAAAGTAGCATCTCCGTAGTGAAGGGGTTAATTAACAGGAGTCTTTAACCCCTTCACTATGGGCACACCACTTTTAATATTTTATTTGGCTAGTGCCTGGTGATTTTATTCAACTCATAGGGGATCCCATAAACAAGTGTTTAAGTACAAATAAGCAGTGGTTTTCTAGCCAGGAAGGTGTTAACATTCTTAACATTCAGTGACAATTTTATTAAACCTCATATATAATTAAATCTTTGTAAATCAGAAATTCTAGATTTTGTTGAGCTGGAAATGGATGGTCATAAAAACAGTTCTACAACTTAAATTGAAAACAAATTTTTTTTTCAAGATACAGTACTGTACAGTGACCCCTCGTTTAACGAACGCCTCGGTTAACGAAATTTCGGTTAATGAACTGCCTTCCATAAGATTCTTAAATTCGGTTAACGAACAAAATTCGGTTAATCAATTTCTTACGAACCGACCTCAACATGTTTTCGCTTGCACTGGCCGGTCAACCAGCTTTAGTATTAGTCCGCCAATACATTAATCGGTTCTAGGGCTTAAATTCCTTACTATTTTAGTAAATATCAAGAAGTTTATACTATTCAATAATTTTAAAAGTTTAATATTCAATTTTTATCATTTTAACAATTATTGAACATAATTGAAGGTAAGTGACTAGTTTAATGCGCGGCATCCAGCCTCTTAACACAGCAAACAGGCGTTAGTCTCTGTTTTCACTAGAGGTAACATCTTGCTTGAGACTCCTTCAACTAAACGCTTTTTTTCTGTTTCCAAGCAAATTATTGGTCGTTTTGAAATATATTTTACATATTGACAATATATAATGCAGTGCAGTGTTGCTTTTAAAGAAAATAATCTTGAAATACACCAAGAGAACTAAAATTTTATGGGTGAAATGGTGCCATGGGGTGACTTCTCTCCACCCCAATGCCTTCTCTTCTTCCTTCTCTCGACCTCCATTCTAATTCCCATCATCATCATCATCCAGGAGCCTTCTACATTCACACCCCAAAGTAAGTGAACTTTTCTCCATTTTTGTTGAATTTAGGAAATTTTCGGTGAGCTGAAACTCACCTAAAAACCCATTGAAATAATTAAGCCGCTAACTAACGACCTTCTGAACGGAGTCTGTTAACCGAGGGTCACTGTATTGTATACAGTGGTCCTCGGTTAACGAGCCTCGGTTAACTAGATTTCGTTAACGTTTACCTTCCATAAGATTCTTAACTTCGTTAATCCACTAACTCGATCAAGTTTTTTACGAGCCTAACCTCAACATGTTTGCACTGGCCGGCAACCAGCTTTGTATTAGTCCGCCAATACATTAATCGGTTCTAGGCTTAAATTCCTTACTATTTTAGTAAATATCAAGAAGTTTATACTATTCAATAATTTAAAAGTTTAATATTCAATTTTTAGTCATTTTAACAATTATTGAACATAATTGAAGGTAAAGTGACTAGTTTAACGCGCGCATCCAGCCTCTTAACACAGCAAACAGGCGTTAGTCTCTCTGTTTTCACTGGAGGTAACATCTGCTTGAGACTCTCTTCAACTAAACGCTTGTTTCCAAGCAAATTATTGGTCGTTTTGAAATATATTTTACATATTGACAATATATAATGCAGTGCAGTGTTGATTTAAAGAAAATAATCTTGAAATACACCAAGAGAACTAAAATTTTATGGGTGAAATGGTGCCAGGTGACTTCTCCAACCCAATGCCTTCTTCCTTCTCCACCTCCATTCTAATTCCATCATCATCATCATCATCCAGGAGCCTTCTA